GTCTTCTACGTTTCTTTCTGGGTGTTACAAATTTGTCCAATTTAATATACCCTGTTCAGGGTATAATAATTACTTACTTCTATAAAAAATTACTTCTGATGTTTATTTTTAATATTATATTTTTCTCTTTTTAATAGGCTACAAATGTTTCATGCTCTTAATTTAGAACTAAAACTATTAACATTTTAGATTCATATTAGTGTTGCATTTTATTCACACCTTACTGTGTCTACTTCCGAATTTCAAGTGTATATAATATATACACATACTGCCATATCATAAATATATTTATTAAGGTATGTTTACATCACACATACACACATTTGAAAGTTTTCTTTCGAGAAAATTAATTGTCATCTACACTAATTAAGAGCCGTGAGATCAGAGGCATTAGTTACTAAGAGGAAAAATATCAACAAATACTGATAAAATAAAAAAACTTTCCTATCAAAACCATTTCTTCAGCCAATGACCATTAAATCATTAAAGTAAACAATCAAAAACACAAAAACTTATAGAAAAATATTTAGTACATTTATACATACAATACTCATAAATAGTAATTAGAACTGAGTAGCTTCATAGAAAATTTAAAGCCGAACGCCCGAGAAAATTGTAAAGACGCTGCGTCATTAAATGATTGACAACCAACAAATTGTAAAAGGTCAAAGAAACAACAACTGAAAAGTTGGTATAGTATTTCCAAATACCATGTACGTACATATACTTTATTGCTGTGAAAAAAGTAATCGATTCCAGTTCTTTTTGATTATGAGTTTTTAGTGTCAAACCGCCTCCAAATAACTGATAAAATTGTTTTTGTTTTTCGAAATATGCCGTTTTGCTTGCTCATCCATAGCATATAATGCTAAATTATAGTTAATTATAAGTGCGAAGAAAAATTTCATAAATATATGTATCAGAAATCAATTTGTACAAAAAACAGTGAAAACTTATCTCTCTCTCAGAGTCCGTTAATGAGCTTTAAGGCAAAACAACACCGGTGGATAACATATCTACACATAAAAAATAATAATAAAATATGTACATATGTATGTAAATATGGCAAAATTGAATGCATCAATCACTACAACAACAAAATAATGTTTTATGAAGACGCATGCGCATCAGCCGTCAGCGTTTGCATGACTCCAAAGGCGCTAATTGGGTAAGTGCATTTCTGGTTTTTGGCCATTACAACGCTCGCCAATAGGCATAACAGAGTTTTCCGTTATAAGAAATATTTCAAATATTCATGTGCATCGACATAAAAATATAAATATGTACGTGTATTTGAGTTCACATAGCGATATCGCATGTTGCTACAAACTGTTTTGAGAGGTGCATTGAAAACATAAAAGCCTGCTGCCTCCTTTGAATGGCAGTTGATTGTGAGATGAGAAACTCTTTTATGGCGAAAATTTACAATTATGTCTATATTGTCTTTCAAAGGCCAATGCCTTTTGGAAAAACATAATTTAGCATAACATAGCTTCAAAATATCGGAGTTTTCCGCACAAAAGTCAATTAGGGTTTTACTTTTAAAACAAACTTCAATAGCAGTGGAAATGACAAAAGGCAAAGACAGCATAGAACGACAATGATTTTAGCGCTAAATTAAAAGTGATTTCGAGTGCATACGATTGCTTAATAAAAACTTAAGACTTACTTTTAAATAATTTGAGTACTTTTCCAGATTTCGTAAGGGTCATTAAAAATGCCAGCTTTCAGTTTTTATTACATAAATCGATAAATTGTGTTAAAAAGCATTTAAAGTACGGACCAGTTCATTTTAATGCCTTAACATATTGCTTTCTAAGCCTTAATTTGTTGTGCACTAGAGTTAAAATAATCTTATAATATTTGTTTTGTCAACCGTTATCTTTCATTCCAAAGGCAAACCTTAATGATTTGCCCATATTGTCCCACGAAAATTTACTATACCCAAGTAGTTTGCAAGGTAGAGGTCTTTAATCAATTTACTTAAGTGGTTACATGGGTTTCCAAGGGTAAAAAACAGCCATTTTTATCATATTAAAAATAAAATGTTTTATTACAATAGAATTTTTATTGTTACAAACATTGACTATTAACAAAGAAATTCTAAAATTTGTGGAAAAAAATAGTTTAAACACTACCATTGCGACGCCACTTCCGGTGACTCCGCGAAAGAAAGATGCGCCCGGTCTAAAGTGAACTTGTTTTTGTTAAAACCTTAACTTAGAACTTGGACGAAGGAAAAAAAAGAAAATGCTGTATCTCCGAATCTATCACTTGGATCAACTTGAAAATATAGATTAAGAGTATATAATAGCTGTAATAAATTATACCCACAATGTTGTCTTTTAAAATCTGATTGAATACAATAAAAAGGTTTCGAAAGTAATGTGAAAACACCATTACATACCAGGATCTGTGGCGTACCAGCCTACTGGACCTGATGACGAATAACTTGTTGTATTGTTAAGAAATAGGAGTGCGTTAAAAGCGTCAAAAACCTCCGAGTGGTCGTGATATCAAAGCCACACAGACGTACAATCTAAAAAGAAAATTCGTCCATCGGAGAAGGGGCCACTTGGTGCATTTTGACATAAAACAGATTCATTTGATCCAAACCAAAATTAACCAACCGTCAATGAAAATCTGTAAGAGCCCATTATTATGGTAAATTATTCCTTCAATGTCTACATTCTATACAGTGCTAGCGGTGGCTAAACATCTGGATAATTTTCGGCACATATTCAATGAAAGTTTAAATGGTCTACGTCAATGTTTGCTACCAAGAGTTTAGTGTTGGTTGAGCAGAAAATGAAAGTCTTGCTCATAAGCACAAGGAAGGTGGAAGAAAAGATATCACTCACCATAGGGGACATTATTTCACAGCTGCAGCTGAAGTATCTGGGAGTAATATAGAATTCCAAATTAAAATTTAAGGAACACCTGATCTATTAAGAATGATGACCGATGGTTGCGTTCCAGCCGGCGAACTTTAATAGCAAAAGCAATGAGTTTGGTAATATTGTATGCAGCACCAATATGGATACAGGCACTAAGGGAGACGAATGCGAGCGATTGAACCAGCTATCAGAGCCTTCTGAAGGCGTAAAAATGAGGAGAGAACGAAAAGCATCACAATGTGGCAGCAACGGTGGCAAACCTCAACCAAAATCTATTTGTGGATAGATAGGCAACATGGGGATCTACACCTAACCCAAATACTGAGTGGATGTGGATGTTTTAGAAGCTATCAGAGTGCATAGAAGACTCTGATCACCCGTTTTTCAAATGTAAGAGAAACGTTAAAAATTTCAATTGGCGGTAGTTTTCGGTGGAAAATTTGACAGCACATATGTATCAGTCCTCTGGCAAATGGAAAACTTTTATCGAAGCTCCAGCTTTCCAACTTTTTTAATGGACACGCAAACCTTATCATTCAGAATTACTTTTTGCGGTATAGAAACTTTTTATTTAGAAACAAGTTAATGACATGTTATTAATCAAAAATATTAAAAATTAGCAACAAAACACATTCCGCTGTACGTAGATAAATCAATTGAAAGATAGTGAGCCTTACAAAATGAGCTCGAAATGTAAGAGACTGGCATGCGATGAAAAGATTATATTTTTATTTTTTTATTTTTCAATTTTAATTGAAATTAATATTTTATTTTATTTTTTTTAATCGAAACACGAAGTAGGTGTATCACTTTAAAAACAATAAAATCGGCCGCTTTTGTAAAGCACAGAAAAGTTAATTTGTGTTTTACTAATTAAACATAATAAATTCAAAACTATATGTAATTATATTAGATATTATCATGCTTACTAAAAAGAAAAAAACAAAAACAAAATTGACGAAAAACCCGATCGAACGAAAAAGTCCGAAAAAAATTTAAGAAAGTATGGTGGTAAGGTTTGCTTGGCCACGAGTGTATATAGTACATTAGGCGTCGGTCAGTCCGTGAGATAGATGAGTATTTCTCTCTCCTATGGAGTAATACTTAATCCGGTGGTTCCGTGTAAGAGAAATGAGTTGGGAGTAGCTTAAGCTTCCTCTGACTATAAAAAAATACATTCCATGTACGTAAAATTTCAAATATTTTCCAACAGATTGCTATACCGAATCACCCCAACAGTATTTCATCAAACTCGTTTGATTTATATGTAGTGCTATAAAAACACTGGGTAAAAGGGGTCTATAAGACTTTATTTACTGCTCGTATGATTAATCCAAAAACAAATATTTTTTACGAGCTCCTAAGTGTGTTAAGCAAGTATGTCAAAGAACTCATTCTATTGAAATTTAATTACCTTCTTTAAGTAGATGTCGTGATCTTTGAAGCGATGCAAATAGTTTTTGAATTTGACTTTAATACTAGCAGAATTATAACGGTATTAATTTAATCGTCTTGTCCGAACAAATTTAACTATTGAAGTGAACAATTTATATACATATATATAATATAAATGCATATATTCACCTAACTTAATTATATTTTATGGTGTATGCAGACAGGTTATTAAAAATACTTGGACAACGATTTGTATTAAACTGAATTGTTGATGCTGCCAAAGTAGTCAGCCTTGAGCCAAGAACGCGTTTCTGGTTGCCGATACAAAAATTCTTACAGTCGATGAAGTATTTTTGTTTTTGCAGTGTCTTACTCGTATTACGAATGCCCAGTATTGCTTAGTACCCAGCGGCAACATTCCGCACAGCAGGTGCTTTTGTCATTGAAAGTGAATGGGTGCTTACAAAATGCTTACAAGTATTCAAGTGGAGGCGAATAAAGAATTAAATTAACACTATGCTAGTACATAAACAAACATACATACATCATATATGTACATATACTTATATAGATATATATCTTAGATATAGATTTATCTTATATTAAACCTTTTAATTTAAATCCCTGATGATTGATGAACACGTTGCAAGTATCAGCAAATTGTACTTAGGTAAAATCATTCCTAATCCGTTATTTTCGCATTTTCAGGGCGTTCAGAGCAATCCTAGTGGTCATCGCGATTCAACCGGAAATGGCTTAAATGCGCAAGCGCAGCCGCAGAAAGTTTATCACAATGCGCGTTGTGCGCGCCACCACAAACCGCATCACAATCATAGCCACAACAACAGTAACAACAACAACAGCAGCAACAGCACCAACAGTATTGCCAATGGCAACAATAATAACAACAACAACAGCAGCAATGGTAATGGTGTTCTCGCGAATGGTGCGACGCCGAATGGTCTCACCGACTTATGTCACCATCAGTTGGCCAATCCACCCGCACATGGACATGGACACAATCATACACACACAAACGGCGTCGGACATCGAAGAAAATCCGAGTCAGTGCTATCTACAGATTCGGATATACGTTTCACCCGTCGCAAGCTGGGCGATAGTCAGAAGTGCGGTTGTGCTGTGATAGCGGGCTTTCTAGTCGCCCTCCTTGTGGCCGGCGCTTTCGTTTATGTTGGTTGTAAGTGTCAAAAGCTGGTAACAAATTCAGTTTAGTTAAACAACCTTTACCGTATGGCATTTTAGATACATATTTCCGCCCTGAACCGCTGCCAGATCGAACCTTCCGCGGTAAATTTCTGGTAATGAACGATAAGTGGTCCATGGAGTTGGCAGATCAGAATTCATTGAGATTTAATCACAAAGCACGTGACTTTCGCGAGCGCATTAATTTAATTGTAAAACGTTCCGATTTACGTGAGGCTTACGAAGGCAGCGAGATATTGGCGCTGGATGGGTAAGTTTGGTTTTTTTACATAATCATTTCAATATGATAAATAATTTTTCTAAAAAATCACAGCACGGAGGATATCAATGAGGTTGTTGTACATTTCAATCTTATATTTGATCCTTATGCCGGTTTGGTATCAACTGCTGATCTCTTGGCTCTCTTCGCTGAGGAGATTAACGATCCGAATCGCAAATATTTCGCCAATATGACCGTTGATCCACAGAGTTTAACGATCAAAGAAGTTACCGGTCTCATTGAAGAACCTGTTATGTCTTCTTCACCACTCGGTGGAGAAGATGATACTACCGAGATAATTACTACAACGCCGAAGCCACCGCGCCGTTGTGAACCCCTCAAATTAAACTACTGTCGCTCGATCGGCTATAATATCACAACATATCCAAATTTCTTGGGGCATCATTCATTTGAGGAGGTACAAGCGGACGTGATTGCTTTTCGCGAATTAGTCGATGCCGAGTGTTTTCGTGAAGCTTTCGATTTTGTTTGCCGCTTACTGCAACCACCTTGTGATACACATGGCTCATTCGAACCGACGCCGGGCGTGATGTGTCGCGAATATTGTCAGCTTTTCATGAGGGGTTGCGGTAGTCGTTTGCCGGCACGTTTCAAGCGATTTTTCGATTGTGAAACTTTTCCGGAGTCGACGGGCATACAGAGTTGCCATCAAAAGCCACATTGCGCACACGATTTACAGAACAATGCGCAAAGTCCGCGGCTCTGTGACGGTTTTGTGGACTGCCCGGATTTCTCTGATGAACGCACTTGTACTTTCTGTACGGCGAATTCATTATATTGTGGTAGAGGGCGCGCTTGTGTGCCACGTAAGGCGCGTTGCGATGGCAAAGCCGACTGTCCAGATGGTTCGGATGAAAAAGATTGTCGTAAGTATTAAAGAAATCGAGTGCAAATATGAACGAAGTGTGATGCAGGGAATATTTGAGCTTGTTTTTTATTTAAAAGTTGCTATAGCACCACTAGCTGCCGATCTCTTAAAGCCCGAGCCGATGGTGCCCTATTTACCACGCTTCCACTCAGAAGGTTTCGCGGTATTTTCCGAAAAGGGTGTTGTGGGAAAATTGTGTGCAGAAGGCCTGGAAGCAGATAGCAAATTAATAGTACGTCAAACTGTGGCAGAATCGCTTTGCAAATCCCTCGGCTATGAGTAAGCAAAAGAAGTGATAGCTTTTAAAACTTTATTTTAAACTTTCCATTTAAATTCGCGCAGATCCGTAGAAGTATTTGAGGTGCGCAACGATACTGAACATGTAGAAGATTACGTGCGTGTGCTGGATCCCCACGCACCGGAGATATCTTTTATACGCACTCACTGTCAGAAGCGGCAAGTACTCTACGTCGGCTGTGGTGAGTTACAGTGTGGGGTGCAGTCGGTATTGTCGCCCAAGCAATATCTGTCGTTACCAAAGATGTCCTCACCTGGTGATTGGCCTTGGTTGGTGGCGCTCTATCGCGAGGACATACATGTGTGTGATGGAACACTGGTTCGTATATAGTCTTACATTTTAGTTACTCCTTTATTAATCGATATATACATTCCACTCAAGATATCTCGTGATTGGGTCCTCACCACCGAATCGTGTTTCCAAGGACAACCACGCGCCACTTGGATGGCTATATTCGGCGCCGTGCGTCTATCATCCAACGCACCTTGGACTCAGCGTCGTCGTATTATTGGTTTGATAAAGAGCCCTGTAGAGGGCTCCACAGCGGCATTGATTCGACTTGAGACACCTGCTAATTTCTCCGATCACGTACGCCCTATATGTCTACCCGATGAACTGCAACGCAAACAGGATCAGCTGGGGAAACGTCGTGCTTTTGTACCCAAAGCTGAGCGTTTAGAGGGTAAACGTCCACAGCCGAAGGTACCGCCCACTCCTAGCGCTGTCCAACGTCATTTGGCAGAATCACAAAAGTTCTTCGTATCACCGGCTGTGGAACGGGATCCAGTTGATACGCACAGCAGTAGCAGCTCGGAAAGTAGAGAGGAATATTCACGTTATGATTTCGATCACTCTGAAGCAGCCGCCTCACAAATGCCGCATGCTGAAGCGCTGACCCAAACAGTAGAGCAACAATTCAATGAATATCCATTGCCGGACAGTGCGCCACAAGTGCATTACTACAGTGGCGCCGCATCATCTGCTGGCCGTTATGCGCCTGTGCCTGTTGCGACTGGCGGTGTCGGTATTGCATCGGGTCGCACGCCAATCGGAGGTGTGAATAGTAAAACATCAACGGCGCCGCCAAGAGTTGAAGAAATTTGGACAAATTGCAATACACTAGGCTGGTCTAGACAACGTGATCATCTGCAGCGAGTACAGCTGAAAATCGGTGATATGGCACCTTGTGAGAATATTTCCATAGCGACTGTAAATAGTATGTGCACCGAGGCGACATATCAAAAGCACGATTGCACGGTAAGTTTGAAATCAACAAATTTTAAATTTAATTGGTTAGTTATTTGAAACTCTCGAATCGTTGTAATGATTATAGCTAAATATTGAATGAGTTTAGTTAAAAAGTTTAGTAAATATTAAGAGGGGAAAATCTTCTATAAGCAAGGATTTGTTCGAAAACCATGATAACCATGACCTCCCTAAAAATTTAAAGTTTGATATGTGAATATTTTTTTTTTTAAATTTACGGTTACATTTTTCGATTTCTTTGGATTCAAGCAGCAATATTTATATCCTGAACATTATATATTAAGTTTGTCACGAAATTTGTAACCCCCAGATCTAAACGGGGGATATTTTATAGAGTGTATATGAAGAGCCGAGTCAATTTAGCCAAGACCGTCTGTCACATTAACTTGAAAATTAATATGATCACCCTTGTCCTCTATATGAGGTTTGCAGTCTTTTATTCATAGAATTTCCTGAAAAGCCGCCTTAATTTCATTTTCATACTCTTGCAACCAGTTGCTACAGATTATTATAGTTTTGTTCATCTAACGGTTGTACGTATCACCTAAAACTAATCGAGATAGATTTAGGGTTATATATACATACATAAATGATCAGATGACGAGAAAAATTGAAATCCGGTTGACTGTCTGTCCGTCCGTCCGCCCAAACTGTAACTTGAGCAAAAATTGAGATATTTCGTTGAGACACACCAACAGGTTCCGTGGTACAAAAAAAGATTACGCGATCGTAAATGGGTGTAATCGGACCACTGTCACGCCCACAAATCGCCATTAAAAGAAAACACACAAAGTGCCATAGCTAAGCACTAATTTCGCACAGGGGATCGCAGTAGTAAGGATCACCTTCAGGTAACAAATTTTGAAAAAGTGAGCGTGGCCATGCCCACTAATATGTTTAATGTATATATCTCCTAAGCCGCTACGGCTACAGCACTTACATTTTCTTGGCTCGAATATTATAAGAACTCCTACCGACAGTGTGAAAATGGATAGTATAACGGTACTGTTCAAAACTACTAAAAACGCAATAAATCGATAATTAATTACGCCATAGACATTATATTTTACTTCCGCGATGGTATCAGAAGGCTTTATGAGAACCAGTGTGAAAACTAAACAATGGACGTGGCACCTCTTACTTTTTGGTGAAAACCCGTATCTTGAGACCCTACCGAATGATTTCGATTAAATTTGGTACATATAATTTTTCTAACATTCCTACAGGCAAAATGGGACCACAATCACGCTACTTCCCATATAACACAATTTAAAATTCCATTTGCTTATTTCACTTTCTAGTACACAAATTAAGAAGTAATTAAAATAACGGAATAAACTTTTGCAGTAATAATTTCCTTAAAGTATGACACCTTTTAACTTTTACGATCGGACTAAAAATTGTATAAATCCAAACAAAACTGTTCACGACCCTAGGTAAAGAATATGTGAATCCCAGTATCTATAGTTGTCTTTTGACCGAAAATATCGGTCAATGTCTGAGATATACAGGTTTTGTCTAGAAAGTAATAGGACTGATTTTCTTCCGCCGCTATTGTACTTCAAGCGGGCCAGTTGTCTCCGGCCACCGAGAGAGTCAGGGCAAATATTTTCTTGCGACGTGTTTCTGCAAGTGGCGCAAGCCGCAAATGCAGCTTTTGTTAGAGCAGAGGTACGCGGTTAAATTCTGTGCGAAACCCGGTAAATCTGCCACAGAGACAGTTGATATGATCAAGCAGGCTTACTCAGATTTTGCTTTAGCAAGAAGTGGTGTGTTTCGGTAATGAAGTGGAAGAGATCGGTAATGAATGAGCAAATCCAAAGTAAAAACGATGCTCATTGTCTTTTTTGACATCAAATATATCGTCCACCATGAATTTGTTTCTCTTGAACAAACCGTCAACGCCAAGTTTTACGTGGAATTCCTCAAGAGGATCAAACGAAGGGTCTGTCGAGTCCAACAAGATATCTCAGCCGATTGGAAGTTGCACTACGACAACGCCACGGCTCACACCACCTTTCTTTCTGAATAGCTACCTAACCAAGGCGTCATCCGAACTGTTCCGCAGCCGCCCTACAGCCCAAATGTAGCCCTTGACCTTTTATGTTTCTTTGCTTGAAAAGGCCGATAAAAGTTAAGAATTTTGAGACAACAGAACGGAGAATGCCTTCCGTAACGTCTTCAATGCTTGGGAATCGCGCTGGCAGTGCTGTATCGACGCAGAAGGAGCCTATTTAGAATGTTTTTAAAGAATTGCAACGATTGGTTCAACAAATTTTTTTAAATCGAATCAATCCTATTATTTTCCGGACAAACCCTGTACAATTGAAATTCAGACAAAAATTGTTCCTGGCAGTAGTATTTCTGTGTATCGAAAGTGGGTTGAATCGGGTTAATACTTCTCTGAGCCCCATATTTCTAATATACACATATTCGAACTACCAGGAGCCTTTATGCTAACGTGTTTAACTCATAACAGTATTTATTTGTGCCTAAAATCGATACAATTGGGCGGAAACTTGACCTAGCCCCCATATAACTGTTACTCGTACTATGATATTCGAACATCCGGCTCACTTTGCTCTATATAATTTTTGATAGTATGTATGGTACCTTAATGAAACCCAGGGAATATTTTTTTAGTATTTGGCATGATAATAGTTAATAATATCTGAATATGCTTCTGGTTGAACTTTTACATCTTAAGGTAATTCCCTGGCTTTGATTCTTGCAAGTAGCAAGAGTATAACATATTCGGTATAAATGTTCGACCATCAAATCCATATAAATTAAATTTGGACTCATTGGTAAAAATTCGTTATCGTGATGCATATATAATATAATACTCTTTGAGACATTTCGTAGTACCATCTCTTCGATAATGGTAATCTTTTTCGTGGTGTAAACACTATAAAATCAAGTGAAAGAAAGAATTCAGAACAGTTTGAAAGTGGAGTTTTGCAGTGCCAGTTTCTTCAAACTCCTTGGCGTTAGTGACAGCATTATTGATACTCCGAGTAACTTTACCTCCAGCCTGCCTAAGTATTTCACTACCGTCGAGTCTTCCAACTCCATCAGTCTTTTTGAATTTACCAATGTGTTTTTTTTTTAATATTGCCTATTTCGGGAGTATTTTTGTTCTCTTGCTAATATTTAACTACCAGAGCCTCAAAGTCTTGAGATGCTTGTTTATTCACCTTTTTTCTTCAAAAACTACAACAGCACAAAAGGAAGGAATTCGCTTACCAAAAAATATGGAAATAATAAGACACGAGAAAAAAGGACTTACTTGATAACTGTTGTCAACGTAAGTGTAAACGTTTTTTTTTTTACTCCTCAAAATAGTATATTTTTTTTAAAACGTTCCCATAAAAATTTATTTATTGTTAATATTTTTATAAAAATGCGAGAAAAACATAAGATTCTTACATTGTTGCTTAAGAGAAAATTCCCTTCAAAATTAAAATATCTCTCTGTAAAACTTTTTTCTTCACTGTATATCTGCAAAAACTTGCATTTGTTTCCAAATGAAATACCAAACTTCGTACGGTTTTTGATTCATCGAACGCAATTTGACTAACTTTTCTAATATTTTATAAATGGTGCCTTTGTAGGGGTATAGAAAATTTATTTCACAGGATATTTAATGAAGTGCCAAATTAGTTTGCAATTTGTATGACATTAAGGGTTTTTACCATATATCCGTGATTAAACACTAAACTCGTATCTCTTTAAGAAATTCTGCAGAATGTAGTAGAAACATGTTTGCCAGCTTATAAGTTAAATATTTTTTTTTTATTTGGTATATGTTTTTTTAACTTTGATGTACAAAATGAAGTGTAAAAAATAATGATTTCCAAAAAAATACTATAAAATATATAGGGTTATAAGTATGTACACAATTATTTGATAGCTTTGCTTGGTTGAGTATATGATTAAATCAGTTCATCAATTTAATAACTAAGAATAAATATTAATATAGTCGCATACATTCAGCAAAAAATGAAATAATTTTTGTTTGGGAAAAACAAAATTCATAAATCTTATTTCTAAATAATAATACAGTAGTCATCGATAGCTAAGATTTTCTCTTTATCCTACCGCTCATAGTCGCATAAAGCGCTTTACTTGCGCCAAAGGCTTCATTGTACGCTTTTTCAATTCACTGATTTGCAAACGCTTTTTCACGCGCTTCACAAATTCGCTACGCGGAGACTGTTTCTTCATATTAGCTTTCTGTTTCTTAGCGCTGTCATTTGTTAAATTTATAGCTGTTGTAGGATATTCGTAGATGAAGCAATTCATACGATATACTGGTGTAAACTTCGATGCACATTGATCATCATTTTCACCAACTTGATTCTCACTTTTGTTTTTCATTTGAATATCACAACTCTCTATTGTTGTTTTTGCTACATCCTCTTGCGGTTGCGTTGACTGCAAGATGCCGACTGCACGATTGTAATCATAACGTATGTAGAAAACCATGCTGGGGTTCGGGAAGAGCGTGAGGAAGTAGTCGAACTGCAACTTATCAAAAATTCTGCCGTTTTCAGTGGAGATCAGCAGAGCTGTCTCATGCGAGGCGGGAATATTGAAGCGCTGAATAACTGGTGGGAAACAAATTAAGTAACATAAGTACATGTATATAAAGATATGTATGTATGTACATACTTGGAGGTATGAGTACATATATATGTATGTATTAATACATTTCCGTTAGTTTTACTTACTCAACTTAATGATCTGTTCGTAACGATTTGTGGCCTCGTAATGGATGTTACTTATTTGCTTCCGATAGCAAACAATCAAACTGCCGCCCTCAACCATTTTTCCTACTTTCCAATCAAAGTAAAATTAATTTAATTTAATTTTGCGAATGTCTGGCAGTTATTCCTTAAATAAATAACAGCTGTACGTGTGCTCCCTTTAACGATTGGCTTTGTTTTGGCAGACAAGCAGAAGTTTCTGCTGTTCGTCCACACGCCAGGTGAACAACAGGGATGAGTCTGTAGGTAAACAATACGCTCTCCTTCCCAAATTGCATTGACTGTTCGCTCTCTCTCTTCATATTTTATTTGACGCTAGAAGAATGCAGTTGCTTGGTGCGAACAATGTACAATCCTCCCTCAAAAATCGCAATAACGAAGTTTTTGTGTCGGCAAGACAGCCTCGAGTAATATTTTCTTCATGGTACGTGCGCTTGGACAGGCGCTTATTTCGGAAATGAAAAGGTTGTAGCGGAAAAGTTTCAATTGATAGTAGATGGTGTGCAACAATTGAAACCAATTCAACACTGTAAAAAACTAATGTAAAGAATTGAATTTAAATTTTTTGTAAAAGATTTGATAGAAAATAATACTACCTCTGTATGCATTTTAAAAGAAATTTACGACAAACAGACACATTTTTATTTCAAAAAGTTATATTCGAAATAAAATCCTTCGTCCAAGTCTTTAAGAATTTTATCTCAAAGACCTGTGTAAAATTTCGTGAACTTCAAATACACAGTTTCGAGAAAAACGCATTTAAAGACGGCACACTTAGCTTAGCTGTGTCTCCGAAAGTATTACTCGGATCAACTTGAAAATTTAGGACAATATTCTAGAGGTATTGTACAAAATAATTTAAATTTCTTAAACCATTAACTGAATATTTTGTGTCACCCAAATACTTGGGTATTTTTGGCTAGATTTTTTTGGGTAGATTTTTTAGATTGCAACATTTTCAACGATTCCCTAGCTTGGATTCTATGGGAAATGAATTTTTTCCATGATAAAAACGCCAGACAAACTTTATAATTTTTTAATTTTTTTATAATTTTTTTCGACAGTTTGCTACTTTCCATATTTTCTTATTGTAGCTATTGGCAGTGTAAAAAATTGTGTACTGACGTCATTGACAATAAATTAACTCAATTCAATTGTTCTCAAGGCGAGTGCCAAAGTAACAATTGATTCATCTCATCCAGCTGCATGCCACTGCCACAAAGAAGCATTTGCTTTTGAGCACGTTCTATTTGTAACTCTCTTTTCGAATATCGCCTTATCGCTCTCTGTGCTCAGCAAACATGTTGCTGCATGTTCATTCATGGTGATTTTTGTTTTTGTTTTTCCTTTCTCTGGCAGCCGTTACTATCACTGACACCTATGCATGCATGCGTCATTATCACCTCACGAATGTTTGTACATACATGTGTGTATGTACATATATACTTACGTATGCTGAAATGCACTCAACCATCACTGTATAAATACAATAACAAGTAAAAACATAAAAACATGTCTAAAACATGCAAATAACTATATGTTTGTATGTAAAGTACATACTATTTATTCTGTGTCCTGCAGGTACATATTCCACTGCATGTAAATTAATATTGATGAATAAATTTTAGTCTTTAGTTAGTTACTGACAAGATATCTAGAGGGTTCTGTGAAAATTTTCAAAACATTGATCAATTTTATTGAATTCTTTTGTTTATAGTATAAGAAATAATATTAGAAGGACAACTAGCTATTCTTATAAAAATGCTTACATATCTCCCATTTAAAGTGTAAAAAAAAAAATTATTAAAATTAAAAAAATTAAATTTTTTGCTTTATTTTTAAAAATTTACGAACTAACCTAATCTAATATTATAAATTGATTTCCATATTAATTAACTAATTAAAATCTATTAATAATACAAATGCAGTCTTTTAAGAGTCTTTCTTAGTTATGATATGCTACAATAATTCTATGAATATTTTTGCGCTTTTAGCGGATCTCGAATAGGATGTGGCCAGAATTATAAACCTGATTAAGCTATCCGACTTCTTTAATAAAGAACTGAAGCTTAACTCGAAAGCTTAGTACAACTTCCGTTGTAACATGCTCTTTACAACCTCCTACTAATTTAAATGATTCGCCGTTAGTTTTGTTTGGGTTGCCATTTGCGGATATTCACCCACAAAAGAACTTGTCCACTGCAGTGCACCTTTAACAACCTCCTTTGTTTCGGACCGCGCAGGTATAATTTTGATGCTGTTTGAAGATTCGCTGAAACGGACACGTTTTGTAGGCGGTGGTGAACATTTGCCGGGATACACTCCTATGAAACAGTTCATGCGAAATACAGGTGTCGTTGGGTATGTCGGATCGTATTCATAATCGGTTTCGCGTTGACGCTTTCGGCACTTTTGCTGCTTTTTGGTTACTGTGTTAATTGCGTTATTGCTTCGTGGTAATTGTTTCTGGTTCCTTCCCGAACTTTCAGTTGTTTGTTGGTTAGTTTGCAAATGGAATGTAATCTTGGGGCTCGGAAACAATAAGATATAGTTTTTGAGTTGTCGTTTACTAAACACTTTCCCGGCTTCGTTGGTAAGCATGAGGGATGTTGTAGATTTGCGTTTGCAAAGAATCTGGAAGTGTTGCATGACTGGAATGAAAAATTAAAGGGTATTTAGTGATATGAATTATTATATTAGTACTAATTACAATTTTTGAATGTCCTTTTTTCGTATACTTACTCGTCTTAAGAATTTCATTATAAGAGCCTCCTAGTTTATAACGTATTAACTGACGTTTTCCGTGGTAAGCAACTTTTAAAATTCTTCGTTGGCACATTTTAAATTTTAGAATAATCAGCGATTTTCAAAATATATTTTAGTATAATTATTTATTTTTAGAAATTTTCTCTAACACGTTTGCTCTGCTCGAGCGCTTGTTGTGTAATGCTCTTCTACGGAAACGCGTGTGGCTTTTATAGGCATAAAAAATGTTATGTACTGTTAAAAGAGGGTGTGAGGCAGGACATTAGTAAGTAAACATGTTTGTTCAGTCATACACACATACATACACATATAATAAATACATTTATTTTCGCGTCTAATTAATTTCAGTTTACATTCGTTTGACCTTGATACATATATCTTCAAGGTATTTTTAAACCTTTATCTTTTGGGATGAGCATAAAGGATTTTTTTCCACATAAACAAAAATATTTATGTGTTATTGATTGTTTAGGTATTGTTTTTAAATGAATAAGTCAAAAATAAGTTTTTTACTATTATTATGTAAAGTATTAAAGCAATTATCTCAAAGTAATGCTAATTTTTTGGTATTAATACCTTGTGAATAAATTTTGAGGTTAGGTAAACAATACCTAAACTACTATTTTTGGACAGTATTTTCTATCTGCAAAGTACCGAACCGGAACTCGAAAATAATATTTGACGCCGTATTAGAAGAAAGGTCAGTGAGTACATGGTGGTATGGTGTAATAATATAGTTTTTTTTTTAATTCTTCTTCTTCTTTAGTGGCGAAGACACCGCTTACGCGGTTATAACCCAGTTAACAACAGCATGCCAGTTGTTTTTTTTTTTTTTAAATTTACCGCCGATTCAAAATGCAGCCACCTCCACCTGAACCCTCCAACAGAGTGGAGGTCTTCTTCTTCCTCCGGAGAGGTTTTGCTGCGGAGACTGAATTTTTCAACTGAACCAGTGTTATGTTGACACATTTTTAATTGAAACGGATTGTGGCTAGACGCTCAACACCGAATTTGTGCCGTTTATATGGCTTTTGTAATAAATGTTACAACGTTCTACTCGTCTCCGTTCTTCTCCGGTCCATCGCATTTCTTTGACAGGGGGATTTTAGTCCTCGCCTTTATGAGGCCATCGGCACCTTCCCAATTTAGCGACCATTCGTATAGTATACATATATGTATGTATACAATCTGGAATATATTGCATTTTTTATTACAAAAATCATGATCATAGTTTGAATACAGTAGTTTCTTAAGTTTAAATTAACTTTTTCATTATTTTCCGCTTTTCTTTTTTTATTTGTAATAAAATTTCATTGACTTCTTTTCGCCCACAGCAAGAAGAGTATTCCGGTGCACCGGTGCAGTGCCTCATACCGGGCACAAATCAATGGGCATTGCTTGGTGTTTCATCCTGGCGTATTGCTTGTGGACCGAGTGGCGTCGAGCGACCGAGAATGTATGACAAAATCACTTCGAACGCGGCGTGGATACGGGAGATTCTAAGTGCAGCGTAGGAACCTTCACACTTAACGGTACCTGTGTTGGCATTGGTTTCAGCGTAAACACAAAAATGAACAAAAGTTAAAGCTAAAAAAAATAAATATAACATTTAAGGTAACACGAAGCTAAATATTTACTTAACTCCTTATGTAATTAGTTCTAAATATATATTATATCAAATATCTAAATTGGTAAACGCATGTATATGTGTACGTAAAAATTATGATTGTATGTATGCAGTAAATTTCAGTTAAACGATTAGAAATTTTATATTATTTATATAAATTTTATTTTATATTTTATATTATAGAACCTTATTTTTGAGTGTTTGTAAGTTTAATTGTGTGTGGGTGTGTGTGTATTTCGCTTATTTATATTGTAGATGCAATGATTGCATTTAAATTTAAATTAAATTTATTTAAAAAGACGTAAGAAATAATAAATATTTGAATTAAACAAATCATTTGGTGTAGTTACGTAATTTTTAGTGTAAATGTTAAGTGACGAACTTTTTGCATTACAACTACTTTATTACTAAATAAATATTAACTTTGTAAAGTATTTTAAAGTATAAATATAATACTTCAAATATGCATGTGTACTTTTCTTTAAAACTGTATACTTTTTTTTATTAAACGTTGTTTTGTTGTGCGTATTTTTAACAGAAATATAATTTAATAAACTATTCAAAATGTCTTTAATTAGAAATTTGTACTAATTAGATATTTTTTTTATTTGGAGATATTTTGTCTTTACTGACCGATTGAACTAGTGATAAAAATATGAATTTTACATATTTATGCTATTTGGCCTTTTTGAAGTAATGCACTTTAGTTGCTTAAAAATATGAATTTTACATATTTATGCTATTTGGCCTTTTTGAAGTAATGCACTTTAGTTGCTTAAAAATATGAATTTTACATTGGGGATTATATCCACTTGTAAGTCAGAAAAAACGTAAACATCATGCACATTTATGGAAATTAATATACTTCAATAACCGGATATTAATTTTGAAAAAAATTTGATTTCATTGATCCCCTATCCGACTACTATTACAAAAGATGCCGGCAGGTATTGATCGAAAGCGTAATAAATTTGTTTCGCAAAAAAGTCGGTTTATTTACACTTCGCAGTGCCTTAAAAAAACGAAACATTACCTTACAAAAGTATTTGAGACGGGCATGTTAACATTTCCAACATAACTATCCGTTTCGAATAAAATATCCTCAGCGATTTTGAAAATAGTTACTATATAAAAGCGTTTAAAGTTTTCGGAGCCTAATACAATAAGCTAAAATATTCTTACAAATACTCTTATATCTCCGAAACTATTTTCCGAATATACTAGAAAATATTTGAATTTTTAGATATGTTCATACAAGTGAATACAACCGCTTCGGTAATATATTTTTTTGTTATAGCATTAAAATGTAAACGAAATATCCTTCAAACAGTCAGCAGACGCAAAATGATATTTTTACGATTTTTATATCAATGAGACGAAGCCTCTTCGAAGGGAGCAGACAATTCGTGCTAATATTAATAAAGCAATAAAACCATATTTAAGATTTTTAAAATATTAATTACTTCCACTTCCTTATTATCCAGTTGAGTCTACCATTGATATATGTATTTTAATAAAATGACAGTTTAAAAATAACAACAAAAACGAACAGTGACTTCTCGTTACTAGTTTTTACCTGAAAGTATGCTAACTAAAACATTTGCCGCTACTTATATTCGTAGATTTAAACCTCATTATAATCATTTATAATAAACAATTTACAATTTCATAAATTCTTTGATTGAATTAAATAAAAAAAACCTTTTTTTTTTAAATATAATTAATATATGACTTAAAAGTAATGTCTCTTGTATACATTGATACATTTGATATGGCAGCGCTGCGTATACTCGTTGCAGCTGTCAAAGTTGGTGGGAAAAGAGAACGAAAAATTACTCGCAGTGAAAAAAACGGGACTTGTGAAGTTAACTTTTGAGGTGGCACAATATATTTAATCCCCACAAAAACTATTTATAACTTGTGAAAAATGTAAAACGTTTAAATTAGTTGAATAATAAGGCGAAACGCGTTGGTATTTGTTGATATTGTGTGAATCGGAGCAGCAACCATGACATCTATATTGGACATGAAGCCTGGTCCGCCCGACTATTGGGCGGACATTTATAACTTTTTTCTGCCGCTAAAATACTTCATCACAAATGACCGGTTCGATGCATTAATGCAGCATGTAGACTTGAATTATTTGCTCAATGCTATGTTTTGGATATTTTTATTATTCGCCGGAGGCTTCATTGGATTCTATAAAATATTCGAGGTAGGCTGTTGCATATATTCATATATCATACATGTTTTAACATGCATGTGCACCTGATATGCATAGCGATTTATTTGTAGTTACTAAAAATAGCATGCGAGTTTTTTTTTGGTGATTTATTATTCTCGTTTATTGCGTGTGTTCTTTCGTTTTGTTTTGTTTTTGGTGTTTGTGACCCAAGGTAATGGCGCCGCTAGGTTAATCAGCTGTTTGCTTAGTGCAGTTTTTACATGCGTTTTAGCAGAGCGCAAACAATATAAAACAGCTGTTGGCGAGGTCGTGATTTTCGTTGAAATAAATGGTTGCCAGATACTTACTTGAGACAAATAAATTAAACTAAGTCGTGTAAATGAGAATTTATTTTTATTTGCAGAATAAAAATAATTATTGGAAGAAAAAGTTGCTTGATGCTTGTATGATAGAAATAAATTTAAAAAGTCGTGTAATAAAAAATAAAATTCGTATAAGAATTTACATGACACATTTAAATTTAATCCTTATTCACATGATTGGGAAAAGTAATAAAAAAATTAAAAATCTTTTTTGAAGTAGAAAAACATACCAAATTCTTGTGTTGTTGTAGCATATGATAATTCTTTATTTTTTATATACATATAGATTAAATTGTTCATAATTAATTTCCGTAAATTTAATTGCAGGTTTTCCTAAAAACATCTAATATAAAATTCTACAAACGTAAACAATTCGCACGATCCGTGTGGAACCTTGCCTTTTATGCCGCTTGCACACTCTTTTTATATTTTTACAATGAATTTATGTTGCTACCGCAGCTGTTCAAGAATCAAGGACGCTACTCATTGTTCTATTCATCAGAGAACATGATCTTTTACAAATCACAACAGTGTGAAAAATTTCAATTCTACTCGCTATTCATAATAACATTTAACCTACATAACGCCATATTGGATTTTAAGGAATCCGATTATCTAGAGGCTTGCTCGAAGACGCTGTACTTGCTTGCATTGGGAGCTATTGATGTGTACAAGTATGTTTATAGCTTTGTGTAATATTTTGTGATTCTTAATTTATATTTAAATACTTTTGAAAAATATTATTTTTTTTTCAGATATGAAAACTACTTTGTTGGTTTGAATCTCAGCTTAGGCGTCTACAATATACTTACGGAATCTCTTTTTCTGTTGGCTTTAATTAATTCGAAAGGCAGCCGTTTATTGTTTCAAGTGTTTTTGGGACTACGCATCGCTTCCTGGTATGTAATCAGGATAAGAACTAAGTAATCAGAAGATATAATTTTGGATACAAAATTTCAATTAAATCTTTGTTAAAAGCAAAGTATAACTACTACTTCATCGTCTTTTTATTTGCAGGTCCCACGTATTCATCAGCTTGCTACCATTTAAATATTTAGTTCCTACGTTGTTTGCCAAAAATTTTAAAATAATGTTAAATGTTACAATTTGGCTTTGGTACGGCTTGTCCATTTGGAATTCGCCAGTGCTGCAGTATTTTTACCACCAGATTTATCACTCTTCGCCGTTGGACTGCTCGGGTGAAGGATCTGCAGCAAAGTATATATGTTATTAGTTAAAGTAGATACTAAACTCTAATAAGAATCTTCGTTTTTGTAATGTTTCTCAGATGCATTTTGCTGAAGGACTCAAGTGAGCATCGTCACTTTAAAACACTAAAAAAGGCATATATGGAAGTAAAATTGGCGCAGGAGAAGTTAAAGATCAGCTCTCTAGCCAATTCGTCTGGCTCAGATAGTTCCTGTACATCAGCAAAAGCTTTTCAAGCTATTAAATGTATGTAAAATAATGCAAACAACATTATAATAAAGTAAATATTTAATCTATTCCTTCATTACAGGCATAATGACGCTGAAGCGTAAATTGAAGCGTATACGTGAGGGACGTGGCTCAGAGATGGAGAACGACACCGAAGATATGAATAACGAATAGATGCGAAAAATGTCGAGCTGTCATTTGATGTCGCCGAACCGAGACCATGTTATAATATGCAATGTTGAATGTTGTTACACACACGTATTCCCAGTTTGACAGTGTCGGTGGAAATAATGCCTAACCCAACAAGACCTTATTTATATTCTGTAGCACTAAATCTCGTAATATTATTCCTTTCATTTACTTTTAATTTTTAACACCAGGCTCTCTATTTTTTATTCCTAATAATACCACTTTATTTTATTCCTATGCTAGAGTGCAGAGAGAACGCTCTTTTATTTATAATTATGAAAAAGACAATTTTGTATTGTTTGATACAAAGCAATCGTATGACGTCAGTTTTACCGCTCTTTGTAACTACTTAAACTAAACAAAATATTGTTAAATTGTAATAAACACGCATATATACACTTTATATTATGTATAAAAAATAAAAACGTTAGAAATATATTTATTTTGTCTGTTGAATGGTTGTTTTATTATTGAAAATGATGCAGAATTTCATTACCTTTCATTTGACACCGAAATTATTAAAATCGGTGAATAATTGCCGTAGATGTGGCGAAAAATCACTTGCATGTACAATCTGGCACACACACGCACGCACACACATGCAGCGCGATCGCTGCGATTTTTACATTTTCTCAAATGCCCGATTTGCACCAGGCACCCAGAAATGCTCATAACATAGCAGGTGGCTGCTGCGAAAACTTAAAATTTTCGTTGCATACCCGAAAGGCGCCAGGAAATTTTTCACTTCCTCTCGCTACCGGAAGCGTTTGCACGTTGAGGTTTTTTGCGCATAACTAAGCGAAAACTCAACCGTTAACATTAATTTTGGTGTCAAATGAAAGATAATTTCTTCAAGTTGCGATGGGTACCATTTTCAGCACTCCGACTAATGCCAGAACTGTGTTACCGTGCCATATGCGTTTACAACTTTTAAGTAGTTAAAATGATAGCTGAAACTTTTCTATTGAACTCATTGGTAGCTGGTGTCCAACCCTTTCATTTAATGCCTCAAACGTTGTTTCAAACATATATTTGGCGAAGTTATGCTCAATTGAGTTTGTCCAGTTAGTGCTTCCGGTGCAGTGGCGAATTTCTTGCGCCTTTCGGGTATGCAACAAAAATTTTAATTTTTCGCAGCAGCCACCTGCTATGTTATGAGCATTTCTGGGTGCCTGGTGCAAATCGGGCATTTGAGAAAATGTAAAAATCGCAGCGATCGCGCTGCATGTGTGTGAGTGCGTGCGTGTGCCAGATTGTACATGCAAGTGATTTTTCGCCACATCTACGGCAATTATGCACCGATTTTGATAATTTCGGTGTCAAATGAAAGGTAATGAAATTCTGCATCAATTTCAGTAATAAAACAACCACTCAACAGACCAAAAATAAATATATTTTTAACGTTTTAACGCATGCATGCGTGTGCATGGGTGTTTGGTTTAAATTAGCGTAACTCCGTCAATTCTTCACCGATTTTGCTGATTGAGGTGTCAAATAAAAGGTATTAATTTGGCGCATCATTTAAAATAAATAAGATTTTGATTTCTTTTTTTAATTTTTTTGTAAAATTAGCTTGAAACTGTTGGAAATTTGGTTTGATGGTAAAAGTATTTGGTTTATTGCATGGAAAATTGTAAGCAATATTTTTGGTACTTATTGATAAGGAAAAATGCAACTTAAAAATTATTTATTTTGTGAAAATCTTTATTTTTTTTAAATTTATTTATTTTATACTTACCATTCCATTAATCTTTCCTACAAATAAATTGAGTCAAATCGATTTATGTGTTTTAAAATTCATTGTTTATTTCGTTTTGTATTTTATCTATTTTTACTTAATTTAAACCTCAATTGTTTTATAACTTAATAATTAGTTTGTGTTTGTTTTGCATTTTACTGTTGCCTTTTTTTTTTTAAATATTCAACACCGTGGTGATGCTTTTGCGTATGTTTTTGAACTCAACTTTGAGAGTACTTTGAGTTCGCTTGAACTCCATTAACTAGGCCCTGCTCCGGCTCTGCTGCTAAACATATACAATAACTTCAACTTCGTCAGCATCTTCATGCTTAGACAAACTAGTTTCGGGTTTATGTTAATTTTACAGCAATTTCTGAAACATTTTTTACTCGAAATTATTTTTTAATTGTTACATAGTAATTTGTTTTTTTTCTTCTTTTCTCTGTTTTGCTGAAACATTTTAATTGTAATTGGTGTAAACTTAGTGTAAATCTTATTTAAAACTTAAATGCGCTAAGTGTAAACTTAAGTACTTTGCTTATGCATACTCGTTTTTTCCATTTGTTTTTATTAATTTTTTGTAGTTAAATATTTTTATAATTATTTTTTATAAATTATAATTTTTTCAATTTTTTATGCTCTATATATTTGTTTTGTATTGAAATCGTCTATTTGCTACAGCACATTTATTTTGCGCTACTTTTTCGTTACTTTCTTCTTTTAAATTAATATAAGTATATATTTTTTGAATTCTTCTAGCCACTTAATAATTATAGAGTTTGAGTTTTAGTATCTGTTAACATTTGCAAGGACTTTCCGTCCTGTGTACATCAGCTAATTTATATGTATTTTAATTATTTATTAATTAGTAATCGTTTCATAGCTTTTTATTTGTTATTTTGTTAAGAATAGTTTTAATAATTTCATTTAGGTACTGACTTATGTGTAAAATTTTTCTAATAATGCATGGGTGAATTCGTTTTGTGTATAAAATTAGTTTATGTTAAATTTCATTATTTTTAAATTTATTAATTAATTTCCTTGTTTCGTTTGTGTTTCTTTGTAAACAACTGCTACTTGTTTTATATTTACAATTTTTTTCATTATTTTATATTCAACAATTTTTTATTAATACAGTTTTCTGGCTTAAATGTGCTTTGAATGTTTTTATAATTTTACGGATATATATTTTCCTTTTTCAATGATAATGAGCTTACTTACAAATAACTGCATGGATTTTGCCTAATTTAAATTTAATTTGTGCAATTAACTACCTAAGTTTCAATATTATATTTATTGTTTGTTGTTTTCTCAGTTGAAAGACTGTCTTCAATTGGATTGTGGTGTGTTGATAAGCCAACAAAGTGAAGCACCGTTAGTTATTGAAATGATTTAAAATTCGTAAACATTTTGGTTATTTTCTTATATAAAATACAATACAATTAAAGGTGCATAATATAATTNATCTAGTGACGTCTGCTGGGGCGCACGTGAGCACGAGCTTGATCGGGATTGCCGTAGGCGATGGCGTGGCTGGTGGCGGAGCCAGCTTCACCAGTGCTGAAAGAGTTGGCAATGGCGATGGCACCACCGGTAGCGCCACCAAAGTCGACAGGGAAGAAGGTACCAGCTGGCAATGGCTTGGCGGCGGGCTTAGCAGGCTTTCTGGCAACTGGACGACGGGCAGGTACTTTAGGAGCGACTGGCACTGGCACRTAGGCGTCATCTTCKTCAACATCTTGGTCATCTTGCACAGCTACGGCGTTATCGGCATCATCTTCGGCATCGGCGGCTTGTTCTAATTCAACAATGACCTTCTTGTTGGCTGGCAAGTAACGTTTRGCTGGTTTAACTGGAACAACGGGAGCAAGTGGTGCGGGAGCGGGCAAATTAACATTCACATCAATACCCTTTGAGGCAACAGCGTTGCCAACAGCAGGTGCTTCCGACTCAGCAGCGCCGGATAAACCAAACGAAACGGTAGCGGTACCAGCATTAGCGGCAGCGGGGGTCTCAACTTCAGCAACCGTAGCGGCTTCACCAGCCAAATTAACATCAACATCAGCGCCACCAGCAGCGACAGCTGGCACATCGTAATTGTATTCGCGGCCTTCCTTGGCATCATCATCGCTGACCTCAGCGCTGACAGCGGGATCCAAATCAACTTGTACGGTTACTTTGTGTTGRTCMTCAGCGGCAGCGACAGCACCGGGGTAGGCCTCAGCAACAGAGTGGGCAACATGGGTACCAGCAGCGGCGATAGCATCATCTTGCACTTCACCAGAAAAGCTTACAGTTTCAGCGGGTCCAGCGGCAGCAACAACACCATCGGCAGATCCTGTGTGGACACAATCTTTATTGGGCGTTTATGATATTCAAATATTTTATGGGTAATGGGTGTGATGATGGTGCGTGATAATGACAGGCGCTTTACTCACCTTGCAGGTAAGTGCCGGTGGCGACTGAATCGCCAGCAACGAGTGCGGCAGCGGCTTGGTGAGAGCGGGCTGAGCCGAATGAGGGTTGGACGTAACGCATGAACATCATGCGTTGTGGTSCGGCATAGTACTGGGCCGCAGCGGGTTGTTGGTAATAGGCCAACCCTATAACGGTGGGAGGGGGGTAAGTGGTGAGTTAGAAAAGCTAATGATTGGGCCTTTTTATGTCAAGTTATGCGGGTAAACTTTAAATTTCGATGAGAGTCAAAGTTCGAAAACAATTTCTAAGGATGGGTTAGTAGGTTTTTTTTTTTAATACTAGAAATTAGTAGTAAAAGTTATTCGTAACTTATAATTTAAGTTACCAAATAAAAAAAAAAATTAGAACCGATTTAAGATCTGAAAAGCTTTTSCTGAACTTTTTACAATTGCTCATACTTAAAAAATGTGTTTAATATCAAATTTAAAAATGTGTAAATTTGAAAATATTTTTGAAAAAAGTTTAAAAAAATATTTTTCAATTTAGAATTATGAATTTGATTTTATAAAAAATAATAAAAAATGTGTAAATTTGAAAATATTTTTGAAAAAAGTTTAAAAAAATATTTTTCAATTTAGAATTATGAATTTGATTTTTTATAAAATAATAAAAAATAAAGAATTAAAAAAATATTTGTCATTAAAAGTATTCATAAAGATTTTTCAAAAATGTGAATAAACATGCTTCTGGTTATGTTAATATTATTATGGAAAACAATTTCAATTTTACGGAAACTCCGCATTTCGGTTATACCTTACATTTCTAAATTTAGGTGGTGTTCTGGTTTAGCAATTCAAAGTGTATATATTTTTCATTATTCGATAAAATACACAAAAATATCTTCCAGAAAATTACGGTGTTAGTCAATTTAGTGTCTTGAGAGATCATATGCGCTTGTGAAATTCAAAAAGTGGATTATTTTGCATAAAAGGGTCTACCAACAAGAACGACATGATGTTAAAATGAAATTAATTTCTCGAAATTAACTAGACTAGAAATAGGGATTTGCCGCCATAACACAATCCATACCAAGTGGTAAATTTTTAGGGATACTATTGCGTTTTCTCCATCACACGTATTCGACTCACCCCAATAGCGATAAGTTTATTTGTTAACGAAACCATTAAGCTAGAAATGGGTTTCATCTCAGAAGCTAAATTTTCGATGAACGTTTTTTCGAGAACGTCAATTAATCTTGCACTATATAAAGTTCATTTGAGAAGCTGAACAATACACTGACAACACTTGACAGAAATCGCCATCCCTTTTGGTAGACGCTGTCAATCGAGTGTAAATATATTTGAAAGTAGTGTGCGAAAATTTAGGTTTATGTGTAGATATTACCCCTTTTTTGTAGAATTGCCTTATTTTTATTTTTGATAGTAGTTTCGATTTTTTAATACACTTTGAAGTGTACAATAAAAAAAAGCGTTGGCATTGCTATTGGCAAAAAGTGGTATCTGTCACCGAAAAAAGCCCTCTGGCTCTACGACACTGTGGTCAAGCTCATTATGTTCTATGGAGTCTTTATATGGCGGAGGGCTCTAGAAAAGACCACACTTGCAAAAAAAAAAAACTTATAGCGTTCAATGGGCGGCGCTCATTAGCATGTGCTAAGGTTCACTCCAACCATGACACTTAACGCTACAGCTCCGGAGTGCAGCCCCCTTCAGAGAAGTGACCATCCACTCAAATAACAGAGCGGCGATACTAGCCTTCAATTTATTAACAGTACGTTCAGGATTGGTCAAGGAGTGCCTAACCTCGCTATCAATAGTATTACGTGACTTTGTGATAAGACTGGTATAGGTGCCAGGTCACAGCGGAATCGCAGGAAATTGTAAAGCTGATAAGCTAGCAAGAAAAGGCACCAGCTATCGGTAGAATGGGAACGGACCGGTGCTCCCGTATCCTCTTGTGTTCTATTACTAGATAGCTGGGCTTCGCGGAAGTTTGGCCACCGTGTCGCCACGATTTTTCAAGTTGTGGTCAGTCGATTTATTTGAGATTACCCACGAATATTTTTTAAATAGTTCTCTATCATTTGAGATAGGGCACAATAGACCTAAAGTCGCGGTGCATTCCTCATTTAACAATCTTATCATATGAGATAACAAATACTGAACATTTCTATTTTGCAACATTTAAAAAAAATCCAACAATGAAAAAAAGTAGTGCAAAACATCTATTTTTAATTTTGGTTAGCCGTCATTTAAAGAATCGTTTTGTTGTCAGTTTTGTTGATTCAAGAATCCGTCTTTTTTATATCAAAAGAAGCAAAAAAAAAAAGATCGCGATTTTCGAATTCAGGCCTCTAGATTAGAAAACCAACCACCTTAAAAGATAAATAGTGAATTCGCATGTCTGAATAACTAGTCTTAGTCGTAGCAAAGATAGATTTTCCAATACGCTGGTACTCTTTGACTACCTAATAACTAAAATATATTACCGTTACAAAAGAAATTATATTCTTGTTTTACTTCATTTGTTAGTGACATATGTACATAAATAAGGAAGTCAAGGGTTTGGTATATATATGTTTGTAGGTATAACTTGTGAAAGAGAAGAGAAAATGCTCAAACGAAATACCGCATTTCTCGAAAGTTAGATTAGTAACTTCAAAATATATATTTTATGAATTTAATAACCTAAGATATGGTCTAAAATAATAAGTACTAAAAATAAATTATTAAAAACAATAACAATATTATTAAACTAAGAAGTCAAAAAATACCAAGAGTTTTTGTTTTAAATTGGCGACAACTATTCCTCTCAGTGTTTAACTAAACATTTCACTAATCATGCTTCTCCTCTCCTCTAACAAATCGAGTTCTTCCAAAAATACTATAATCTCCAGCGAAACTTTTTGTGGTTTTTGTTTAAGGTTAAAATTTATACAAATATATGTACATACAAAAATTGGTTATACATATCGGTTAATTTGATAAAGTGTTGAATCTTTTTGCTTATTATTTAATCGCATTCATCTATGGCAGTGTAATCCTTACTAATTATAATTATTTATTTATTTTAAAGTTTCCAATTTTTTCTTTATTTCGATTAATTTGGTCTACACTGTATTGACTTAGCAACACTCACATAGCTTCTTTAAATGGTTTTTGATGAAGAGCAGATTTCTCTCGTTTCGCTAAAGTTGTTTCTGCACTATCTTATGTTTATTATTATAAGATTGCATAAAATATGCAAAATATTTTTGTGGGCAAAAAATAGTAATTTTTTTTTTTAATTTTTCTTGAAAACTTATTCGTCAAAATATTTTTCTTTTGGTAATACTAAATGGATGTTATCAGTGCAGTCGATAATAGATTTTTATTTTGTTGACAATTTTTCTATTAAAACATTTTTCTAATGAATTGTAAGTCATAAATTGCGACTAATTTGAAAATTTTATTTTAATGTAAAATAAAATAAGTTTAATTGTAACCAAAAGTGTATTTAAATCTTCAGAGGCAAATCGAACAAACAACTGGTATAAATGCAATAAATTGGTATAAACCAAAGGAAATCGAATTTTCAAGCTAAAACAAGTTTAATGAGTTACTTTTACTATTTGGTTTCACACCGAGTTTGAAGCTCAAACAATGCGAAGTGAAGTGGCGCATCGAAAATCGTTACTATGGCCTTCTCTCTTACATTTTATGTGACTTTGCTCATCTGTATTTCTTACGCAAACTATTAGTAAAATTATTACAATAGAAGTAATGAAAAAATTAAAAAAAAAAAAAATTGTATTGAACAAAAAAATTAGCTTTCAGTTGAGCAACACTTTTTCAGCTATTTATAAAGATCTCATCGTAAAATATCATTGTAAATACGTTCAGCTTCTCAAATGTACTTCGCGGATTCCAGGAAAATATAATTCTTAACATTTTATTTCTACTGTCTGACTTAGTGATCAGTTTTTAATCGTATCCTCCAGAGCAACTCTTTGTTGTTGTAGGCGTATGAGTTTTGCTATATAAATTTCATTAATTCTACCATGTTTGCTACATACAAAAATGGTTATTTACAAAAATGACAGTCTACTTTGCTGTCTAATTAAAAAAGTGAAAAATGTTGTGCAAATGTTTTTTTTTTGTTTTTGGCATTTATAAAGTTAATGTAAATATTTATTAAAAATATCAAAATTGCAAATTCTTTCAAACTTCCGTTATCTTACATATATGTAAGTACTTCAATGAAAAATCGTTATTACAATTGGAAAGTTACTACTTTTTACTAAACCACTCACTCTTCACCCATCAAAATGTTTTAACAATTTTTTGTTAAGACTGCTTTTTTTACAAATTTAAGAGCTGAAACGTAAGACTGCTTATAATTTATGGTGTTTTTATTTATAAGTTAATGTGTATAATGTTAACAATATTGCACAAATGAGATGCCTACAATAGCAATTAGTTTGAAATATTTCATTATCTACATAGTACATAGTTAACGGTAATGTTAAGAAATTTATCATTCCAACAATCACTTATTTCACAAATAATTTTAGTTGCGTTTGAATGAAATATATGTATGTATGTACACATGTCTGTGTATGTGTTCATTGTAAAAACAGTCTACTATAAAAAACATGGCACATGTCTTGGTATTAAAATTAGACGATTTTCAAAAGCCCAATATGGTTAAAAAAATGTTGTTAATTGATTTTTGAACTTTAAAATGATGTGAAGATCTGCATGAACTAAAATAAGTCTACGGTTGTCGAAAAGTATTTTCCTCTCCAAAAATAACACGCTCTATAAAAGCAGTCATAAGATCAATGCAAATTGCTAAAGGCTATAATAAATCATAAATGTGTTAGAGCTTTTCATCATATCATATCTACTCAGTTAACATATGTGACCTGGTCTACGGAAAGGGGGCTTAGGTGTCAAAAAAATCTATTTTCACTTTTTAGTTAATTGGGATGGAAGATGAGATGCTTTTTCTTTTTAACAGCTGTTTCCCAGAAAACTAGTTTTCGCACGTTAGCTACCTTTTCATAGAACAGGTCACATATATAAATTTCACAAGTTGAGTTTCAAGAACATATGTAGGCAGAGTCTGTGTTCTGTTCAGGAGCTGTGAATATATACTATCATTTTCTTTCCTCTTTTGTTATTTTATTCGGTGTTTTGAGAATGAATCA